GAGCTAGGCCTATATTTTAATCTTAAGCTGCACACCAGTCCTGCAACACGACTAAGTCCGCTGCTGTGAGGCCAGAACTAGCACACTGCATGCAATTGAGATCAGCTAACCCAGGCCACATATCGATGCAGCTCGAGTGCACCCATGATCCCAACTCACATGACGAAACCCGGATCGGGAACAGGTCGATCTAGGCTGCACCATCGCTCTCTCCTTGGCAGGAGAAACTGGATCCGTGCGAAGATTCATCGTGGCGGGAGTGGCAGGACCCCGCTACTTAAGGGGAGCTCTTTAGTTTGATGGAGGTCCTATATAGACATAAAAGGCTACTTGTCATCAAGAGTCGGTGCTCAGCACAAAACTTCACTGCCTGCCTCATAGTAATCTTCTCGTATTTCTTGGGGTCGGCGCCCTTCTCGGAGATCAGCGGAAAGGCAACGTCCCAGAAGAGCCCCTTCAGGGCTATTGAGTACAATCTGTTTGAATTTCACTCATTATGGGTTTTAATTCCTCTCCTATATCTTGGCTTCTGTAGATCTAGATTATATCTAGTATATATATATATATATATATATAGGCTAAGTGTAGCATGCAAACATGTAAGCAGCACCTCAAACTTGCTCGGGCGCTCAAAAGTCGGGGCCACGTGCTCAAAGAAAACCTTCGCGATCGCATCGAATCGGGCTCTTGCAGCCTCGCCTTGCCCCCGTCTGCGGCCCGCAAAAGTCGTGCGGCCCTTGGATTCCTCAGGCTCCTGCTCGATGACCTTGGCTGCTTTGGCACGCTTGGAAGGGGGCGTCTGCAGCTCCTTGTCTGACTCCGCACAGTAAAAGTAGCCGCTGCCCTGCTCGCTCTTCTTTGGCCTTCCCGGCTTTTTCTTGCCAGCGGCCTTGGGAGCCGCCTTGGCCTTTGCCTTTGCCTTTCCCTTGGCCTTTGCCTTTCCCTTGGCTTGGGCCTTGGGGCCCGGCTTCTTTTTCGACGTCGGCTCGACGCCCTTACCCGCCGGAGAGTACCGCACGGTGCGCGCTGCACCCGTTGGGCTGTCGGAGTCCGAGTCGTCCTCAGCTGCTGGCTTTTTGCCACGCCCACGCCCGCGACCACGACCACGTCCCACCGCTTTGCCGCGGCCGCCACGACCAGCCTCCACGTCTGCTTTCTTCTCAAGATCGAACTTCTCACGCTGGTCGGTCCTCTTGACCATGTGTGCCTCCCGAGGTAGCTAAATATTATTATATGTGTTCCAAGAACCGAACTTTTGACTCTGATCAGGGAAAGGTTTCTATGGCCTTCGGGTCGTAACTCTCCAAGGTCGGCTCGGAATCGGGATTGGGCTGATGTGGCTCGGTTTCGGGCTTGCCTGCGTCGGTTGATTTGTCTGGCTCTGGCTCGGCATGCTCGGGCATCGAAGGCTCGGTCTTGAGCTTGCTTGTCTTGGTTGATTTGCGTAGCTCAGGCTTGGCATGCTTTAAGGCTTCGAAGAGTTGCTTTTGGGCTTGGCTGTGTCGGTTGATTTGCACGGCTCTGGCTCGGCATGCTCGGGAATCGAAGACTCGGCTTTGAGCTTGCCTGGCTCGGTTGATTTGCACGGCTCTGGCTTGGCACGCTTTGGCATCGCAGGCTTGGTTTCGGGCTTGCTTGTCTCGGTTGATTTGGGGGGCTCTGGCTCATCATGCTCCGGCATCGAATCCTGCTTGTCAGCAAACTCCATACCTGCCGCAAGAGCATCACCATCGTACTGCTGAGTCTCCTCATCGTCGATGGCAGACCCAGAACCTTAGCGAGATATGTGTGACGAATGCATTCGTAAGCAGGCAAACCCATATGTACCGAAAGCTAGTTATATCCCCAGGGTAGGCACAACAGAAAATGACATATTAAAGTATATTTAGACAAATTCATCAGCTAGCCTATTAAACTCCAAATATATTCCATAAACATCCCCTTTGAACCCTTTTGATTCAGAATGCCTTCTGCCCTGAAAGCCTAGTCGCTGTATATAACCATTGTATGAAAGGAATCTACATGTAAATACATTAGATGGCATGGCAAGCCATCCAGCCCCTCTTTGCAGTGGACTCCAAAACCCCGAGTAATCTGGAACCTAAGCTATATTTATATATATATATATATATATATTATAGGCTGCAGAACCATATACTCCCCTGACCCTAGAAACACCCATGACCCTATATAGAAAGAAATATCGAGTAGCTACTGCTCGGGGCGGGGGCTTCCACCGAAACCGCCGTGGCCTTCCTCTGCTCCAGCTGCTGCCTCTTCAGGGCTGATTGCTTTGTAAAGGTTGGGTTATAGGAGCTTAATTTATCAGTATATGGAATCCCAATATAACCCTACATGGCCTTATAAGATCCATTCTCATCTTCACCAGATATCGAATGCGCTGACGCTTGGGGTCGATGTCCTCCTGGTCCCCTGCGAAAACCTGTGGCTTCTTCCTGTTCAACTTTGCTGGCGCTGGCTTGCCCACTCCAGCTGCTGCCGGTGGCTCGACTGCTACAGGTGGCCGCTCGACTGCTACCGGTGGCTCGACTGCTACAGGTGGCGGCTCGACTGCTACCGGTGGCTCGACTGCTACAGGTAGTGGCTCGACTGCTACTGGTGGCTCGACTGCTACCGGTGCCTCGACTGCTACAGGTGGCTCGACTGCTACCGGTGGCTCGACTGCTACCAGTGGCTCGACTGCTACCGGTGGCTCGACTGGAGCCTCATCCTCCGCATCGAGCTCTGCATCCACCTGGGTGTCCTCAAGACAGGCATCGAAATCCTCACACCCATCTGCAGAGCTTCCATCTTCGATGGCTGCAAGCCTATCAGCCGCTCCGCTGTCTGCGGGCTCGTCACCATCATGACGTGGCGCATCTTCGATGGCCAACGGTGCAGGAGCAGGTGCCGCCATCGCGGGATCTGCTTCTCCCCAGTAGAATCGAAGAATGTTGTAGAAGTCCTCCAGAGCATTGTCCTTGTATCATCCATGACTCGTGGGGGTTACACCCGTGTTATTTTGATAAATCCTGGAATGGGACTATTAAACTATATAGGGATGTTGAACTTCGCAGAATAGATGCTCTGGTCTCCGATCCGGTGCGCAAGCGCCTGATTCCGTGGGAAAACATCTTCTTGATGCCCTCCGCGTCGACGGAGAGCAGGACGCCATCATCTTTAAGGTCCACCATGCGCCTGAACATCGAGATTTCGCGGCGCATGAGCGGGATGGGGACGAAGCAGGGAGAGGCCTGCGTTGGCGCCCACCATTCCGCGACTATCTCCAGAATCTTGGCATTGAGCCCCATGGATTTGACAGAGGGAATGCCGGTGCTCTGTAGGCTTGGCCATCGCGTGATGACCCCCTTGTCCCGAGCGCGGCGTCGCAAAGTCAACTCGCCTTCCATGATGGATGCCAAGCTTCCCGCCGGAGGCCACGTTTCTTTAGGAGCCCTCACCGATTCCCCTGAACTCTCCGCGAGGCTTTCGGCCTCGCCCGCCGACTCATCCAAATCGGACATGTCGATATCTATGATATCCAAAGAACACAAAATGTGTTCCGAAAAGAAGCTGGCAGCTCGAACCCAAGTGTTCCGAAGAAGCAAACTAAGCGATTCACAAGAATGTACACAACTCCACTTCAGCTCATATGCTCTCATCATCTCTTCTATGCAGATCTTATAGAGCATTAAGTAGCTTAAAGCCCTTGCCCCAAGCACCTCGAGCACAGTAGCAGCGACCAGCAGCGAAGCCAAATGTACCTGCCGCGAAGGACATGGTCCGAGCTGGTGACGAGGGCCGCGCTGAAGACTATATATATCTATACCCTATAATAATTTAAACCCCTAAACCCCTAAACCCTACATAGTCTGAGTGGGCGCACTGCTCGGGTTCGAAAGTAAGCGAAGCAGGGGTGCATGGCGTGCAGTAATTAGATCGTGCTATGCTCTGTTGCCTGTGTTTAGAGTGTACTCTGCATTTACAAAGGATTGAAGACCATCATGTTGTGTGCACCGTGATGCAACCTTAGCAGCCTTAGCAAGCAGCTAGGATGAGTTAACACATGTATAGACCTATATACCTTACAATAATATATAAGATTAAAGTAAGACCCAGCATCTCTGCAATATATGTCTCACGAAGGAGCATGCACTGCAGAAAAACATCGGAGCCACCGCATGTGCCGGATGCAGCAAACGGCCTCAGCTTCAATGGGTGGATCAAAACCTTCACAAACCCACAATTCCCCGAATTATACAAAAAGGTTCACGAACCGAAATTTTAGGTCGCGGCCTAAATAAACGCTTATTCACGAAACAACCAATATTTTAGGCCCCACGGAAGGTCCAGGTATATGTATACACACACTTATACCTTAGCATATATATATATATATATGCATATACATATATATATATATATACATATACATATCACATATGAGCATTTGTATACTGCTACGACCGAAGACCGACAAGCCTTGATATCAGTATCCAGGTCCCTTCACAGACTTTGACTACGCGGGCAAGGAGGACATGAAACCCTAAACCCTCAACTCCTAACGCCTAGGTCCTAAAACCCTATAAACCCCAAACCCTAAACCCCAAACCCCTAGGGCCTAGGTACTAAAACCCTATAAACCCCAAACCCTAAACCCTAAACTCCTAGGGCCTAGGTCCTAAACCCTATAAACCCCAAACCCTAAACCCTAAACGCTAAAGCCTAAACCTCAAACCCTAAACCCTAAACCCCAAACCCTAAACCCAAAAACCCTAAACCCTGCCCGGACCTCGGAACGCCCGTGTCGATAGTCTGCATTTTAATTCCATGTTGGGATACCTTGAGTTGTTAGTTGTTTTTTAGCCAGTAATTAGGGGTTAGGTTTTGTAGTTTAGGGTCAGGGTTTAGAGCCACACAGTTGGCTGACCAAGAAGACAGGAAGTACCATGGAGACTGTAGGTACAAATAACTCAACCGACAAGTCTTGGCTTCGTAACCTGTCTTCCGTGCCAAGATCGATGGGATAGCATTCTCGTCCTTTCTTCGCGTACCTGTTTGCAGCGATGGATGTGCCAAAACCACCCAAAAAACGAAAGGCCATTATTCTACGTTGATTTGAAGTCCAGGTAATGATAAAAGGAGATGTATATACTAAACATGCGAACAAACACTTTATGCAATGACTGTTTCGGCAACTCTGCAACAACAAAGCGCTGCAAGCCATACAAGCGCAAACAAGCGCAGTAGTCACAGCAGCAAAGGTGACAATTCTAGAAGTAGGGATCGCAGCACGGGAGGGTGAGAGTAGCTGAGGAAGCATGAGCAGTAACAATCGAAACACAAGCAGCCAGAAGCTTCGTACACATCTTCCATTGGCCTCGACTTCCACAAAGGCTTGTATACTCGGATACTCCCGAACTCCTGACTCTAGCACCAGACGAACTACACCCTGGAGTCATAAGTCATAAGGACTTTTACGGGGGTATGGGGGAAGGGGAGGAAGTATAGTCCCCCACCCCCCGTCCTTGCTTGCCTCCCTAAGGGTCCCTCTGATGGAGCCTGCATCCGAGACGAGAGGCGCATCGTGCTTGCGGAAGGGCGCGCCCGTTTCAGCTCCACGACACCGAGCCGCTGTCCGTGGAACCAAGTACTTCTGCCAGCGTTGCAGATGCGCGAAGGTCCTGAGAAGGTTTAGAGTTTAGGGTGTAGCGAATGCCCTGACAGACCCAAATAAGGGCCTGAGGTACTTATAAACTAGAACGTAGGGTCTTTATAACTATATTACTAATATGATTTGGGGAAGCATCCCCCATGACAGTACCTAGGACCCTTTGGGAGATGCTGTGCGACAGCCCATTGAAGGTTTGGAGTGGGGCCTGACAGTCTGAAACTTCTCTTGCAACCATAAACCCTGAACATCCCCAAAACCCCTAAACCCTAAACATCCCTAAACCCCCAAACATCCGTAAAACCCCTAAACCCTAAACATCCCTAAAACCCCTAAACCCTAAACATCCCTAAATCCTAAACCCCGAGCATTTACCCTAAACCGCTAAACCCTAAACGTCCCTAAACCCCAAACCCCAAACATTTACCCTAAACCCTAAACCCCAAACTTTACCCTAAACCCTAAACCCTAGGCATTTACCCTAAACCCTAAACCCTAAACATCTCTAAAGCCTATAAGCCCTGCAAGAAACCTGGAGGCAGAGCTCCGGGCTGAGAGCAGTACCCCTTTACTCATTGGCTCCATTGTAGTTCCGTTTTGGGGTTTAGGGTTTTTAGGGTTTTTAGGGTTTGGGGTTTAGGGTTTTTAGGATTTTTAGGGTTTTTAGGGTTTGGGGTTTAGGGTTTTTAGGATTTTTAGGGTTTTTAGGGTTTGGGGTTTAGGGTTT